TTAAAATTTGTTGTACATAGAACATTAAAAGACTTCTGCCGTTGCATCCTTCTTGTCGTGTTCTCTCTTTGGGGACTCACACGGGACGTCATTAGGCGGCAATATCTCGGCCTAGGCATCCGTTAAAACACTTTTGACCTGGCCAATCATACACCCAACACGCACTCCCGCGTGCTGACACGAACAATGAAAAACCCGTACACAGCACTTCCTTGCCCACACGTTCCCGTACGGTCGCATTGTTCACACACCGGAAAACAGTCAATCCACGGCAACTTGCCTTGTGTACCTAGTAAATCGCTCCCAACATCTGATTGCCTTCTTCTAACAGACGGAACATTCCTAGTATCCTTGGTTATAGTAGATCGCTCGTTCTTAACCGTTGCAGAACAACTACAGGCCACAAAAGAATTGGCAGGCTGGCGCACAAGCGTAAGTGGGCAAAATAATTGCGTTGATGCGCGTTCCAGAGATGTCCAGAGCAAACTATTCGTGTTACAAAGTTGAATTGTTTGGGTGGCTGAAAACTTCTTTGGGAGAATAGGTGGGCCGATAAAATGATGAATCGTAAGTAGTACGCTTTCTTTATCCAAAACCACGTAAAAAGAGCTCCAATGCTTAACTGGGGCTCAGAAGTAAAGTTAGAAATCAGGAACAACTTACAACAACTAAATAATCAAGTGAACGGTATTCTGCTAACAGTGTAGGAATATTTGCAGCGCCCAGCGTGAACAGTATTGGCAACCAAAAAACAGTGAAAGCGAATGGGATAGGTGTTCTAGGCAACCTTCTCGCGATGATAATGTAGATTAATCAAGAACAGCCTGTCGAGAAGGCTTTCAAAACAGCAGAACCCAGCAGAAGTATGGTAGGTTTTGTCATTCGAATTTGAGCATGACGTCGCGAAAAACAAACATGCGTCCACCGTAGAACCAGTTAACTTATCGCGGCTGGTCTACAAAAACAGGCTGTCAGCAGCCGGCTCTACAATATTACTGCTCTCTGCACCAACCGCATTTTTCGCACAGTACCAAGTAAAGTGCACCTGATATATTTGAGAGTCGGGTTCGTTGAAGCTGCAGGCATTGTCGAACATGAGAAAGAGATCCGCCATAAATTCCTCAAAGCTCTGATAAACACCCTGCAGCAGGTTCTTTGCAATCTCCTGCATTTCAATGGGTTTCTTGATGAATTCGTAGTAGGAGGGCAGCTCGCTCTGACTGGGCAGACGCATAAAAGGCGCAGAGAGTTGCCTTCCGTTGGGACCCGGCTCACGGTATTCACGCACGGCCTGAAACACCTCTACCATTAGACGCTGGAGAGGGGGAACGTTGCTCTGGCCGGCCTGTCCAGTGTGAAGGCCCGCCGGAGAGCCTGGAGTGAGGTTGGGTCCAAGTGGCACGCCATAACTTGCCCCG